TGCCTCTGCAGACCACATTAGCGGGTTACGGTTTAATGTTATTTGAACCCCTGCATTGTTGGGGGTATCTCATTATTTTATGCAGTACAGTAATCTCTTGCTCATCCGAAGGAGAAGTTGGATTTTCAGAGGCAGTAAGTTCGGCACTTTAACCCATTCTTATGGTTCAGTTATATTGTGCATCGCAGGGATCAACAAAACGTTGTGTTATGAAACGGTCTGGTGTACAGAATATATCGAGGTTTCATTATGAAGTTTATTCAGGTATTTAGAAAGGCGTTTAAAATATGTTAGCGTGTGTAAAGGCCCATTATTTACATTTTGTGATTATCTTTAAGTAAAGCTGCTTAATCTTTTACTGTAAAATAAGCTTATTATGGAACTGTCAGTTTCTGAGCATCTGATGTAGAAAGTTTTGTTTGCATTCGTTTTCGTTTCTTCAGGGCGTAGATTTGCGGGAATATTCGAAGCAGGTAGAAACGAATTTGAAATTGCTCGAAAGCGAAACTTTGCAAAGCTGTAAGTTCACGATGCTGTCCTCTTTAGATCAGTATGATCTCATTTTAGATATCGACAATGCTGAAAAGATCGCGACGTTGCATAATAAAATCCTCGAATTTGATAACACCTTGGCAGTAAGTTAGCTGACTTCATCTCGATTTCGTTCACCAACGTAACTGAGATCCACAGCTGCAGTGGTTGGTTATTTTCATGTTTGATAAACTTTCGCCGTGATGAACAAATGCAAGTAGGAATTTTCTTAGCGAAGTGATACTTCACCCATCTGAACTTTGCCGACAGCATTGCGGTCGTTGCAACAAAATCAAACCAGGTCAGAAAGCATTGAGTGTCACAGAAATGCCCTCTGCGAAGTGGAAATCCAGACTGAAATCGTCGGGGCACGAACTTTCCCTTATAATATTATCCAGGGAATGTGACCAGGATGAAGTTTGCAATGAGGTGGCGCAGGAGAGCCTGCATCAACTACTGGAGGGATCTTTCTGTTCAGCCTATTCAGTTATTCAGTCTATACAAAGTGCTTGAAAATAGAACGTTCAAGCTAGCAGTGTGACTTTTGCTTCCACCGAAGCACTGTGGAATATGGCATTCCGAAACGTCTAGAGCCGGTCACTCCTAGGTCATAACATCAGTAATTTGGAAATGTGATTAGGATGCCAAAGGAAAGACGCCAGAAGGATTCTTTGCGGAGCCATGTGTTGCTTAGAGGAATATCGGGGATCATACAGCTCGTAAATGTTGAAATCTAGCATCTTCGCTCCTTTGAATTCTGGTCTATGGAGCACACCCAGTTGGAAGAGAACAGAGATAATTAAAAAAGCTTCTTGAAAGTTCGCTCCCATGGCATACAAGGTATGGTGCACCCTAAAAGCGAATAATGGAACTTGATCTAGTCTATCACATTCTGATTGTTGTCTTTTTATTCATTATTTTGGTCATTGTTTTAGTCATTATGGTCATTGTTTTAGTCATTGTTGAACACCGTTGTCTTTTTAGTCATTCGCTACATCGTTTATTACTATTTTGGATTTTTTGTTTATCACTTACTGAGAACAAACTGGCTTTTGCTTCGTTTAGGCATCATTACTTTGTGGTTGGTCGTTATAGAAATTTGATTTAGGTTTATTGTACAGGGCTTTCAGACGAATATTTGACTTTAATCCCTTTATTTAAATTGCCTGATGAACCTGCTTGAAACTGTTTAACTGTGTCTAATGTTTCTTCTAGCTCTGGCACATTTTAGAATATCGAGCATTTACTTGGCGCTTTCAAGTTCAATCTGAGCAGCATTAGCAGCGAAATTCAATCTCTACAGGCCGATTCGGTTTCAATGGCGCTCAAGCTGAAAAACCGACAGGTTGATATTAATGCTTCTGTTTCATGGCGTGTGTGACCTTGGCAGCTCTGTCTTAGGCGGTTCGGGGAGAGCTGTCACAGCTGATAGATGAAGTTGCAGTAAGCGATGAATTGAGCAGGTATGAACAATGCAGCAATATTGCTGAGGTAGAAGCGTATTTTTTTTTTTTTTTCCGGGGGGG